ATCCACCTATCCTATTCCTGGGTATATATCTGAAAGATGCTCTACCACACAACAAGGACATTTGCTCAGCTATGTTCATACCAGTTTTATTCATAATAGCCAGAATCTGGAAACAACCTAGATGTCCCTCAACTGAAGAATGGATAAAGAAATTGTGACACTAAGGAAATAAAGCCTTCCAAACACAGCAGGACGGACACACATACAAATGCAGAGTCTGTGGCAGCATGCACAAGCCCTGCACATGTCCCAGATTGAGAGGGGAAGCAGACAGAAGCCCCCAATTCTATTGCAGAAATTGTCTCCAATTGATAATCAAGCACAAAGAAAAATATGTAGTTTTCTCCAGTAGTCTCACTAGGTATACAAACCAGTGTTAAGGACAGATCTAAAGCAAACTCAGTACCATTTTTGGAGATTCTTCATCTCTTGATGCTTTGTCTGGGCATTGTTCTTGCTTCCTTTTCTTCATTACATGTCTTTCAAATATATATGTTCCACTTTGTGTTTTGGGGGGGAATTTCTGTATGTGGGAATGTGTGTGTTTCAGGGTCTATATGTGTTTCTTGTGCTTTTTCATTGGTCTTTTTCTTCTGGTTGTTCCTAGTCAAGTTTGTTCGTTTTTATTTTATGTTATTTACTATTACAAGATGCCTGTTTGTAAGAGGGAGATCATAGATTTGGGTGGGTGGGAAGTAGGGGAGGATCTGGAAGTAGTTGGGGGAGGGGAAACCGTAACCAGAGTATAGTATGTTTTATGAAAAATAATTTATTTTCAGTTTTACCAAAAGGCAACTAAGTGGCATGAGCATCTTAAGTGAAATCATTATAAGAGAACCAGCCCTAAAGGCAGCATTTAGTACAGCAAACCAGCCCTCTCATGGGGGCAGTTGGACTGTTGCTCTTCTCTGAAATGCTCTCTTGGAAAAGCATCATTAGTAAGACTTGTTTAGCTCCTAGCTTTTCCAGAATGAGGGTGGTCTGGTTGTCCCTGCATTCAAACACATTCTGTTTAACATGGTTGCTCTTTGTGGGTATCAGAAGTTTCAACTTCTATTTTATTTACAAATATGTGAGTAAATTATTTCAACAATAGCTATGTGGTGACCCATCAAGAAAAGTCAACCCAGCCAGGAGTGGTGGTGCACGCCTGTAATACTAGCACTCAGGGAGGTAGAGGTAGGCAGAGCACTGTGAGTTTGAGGCTAGCTAAGGCTACACATTGAAACCCTGTCTCAAACAACAACAGCAACAACAAGTCAACCCATTCCAAGCACTCCAAGAGGTAGAGTATGGCTGTTTCCTTCCAACAGTCATTTCCTTTAATTTTTGGGTTAGGATACTTCTTGAGAGTGTTTACTCCACCCTCAGTCACAAACAATATGATATTATACCTCTTCTCCCGTCAAGGTTCAAGGTCCATTTTGGAGAGGGGACAGAAAGGTTGTGAGGACCAGAGGATCGGGGAGCAGCCGCACCTTCTGGACACGATAAGATTGCTGAATTAAGAAACTCACACGGCTGGTTGTGGAAGCTTGCACAAGATCGACAGTCAGCACTCAGCTTCGAGGCAGAAAGGTCTCATTAGTACCCGGCTCTAGCTGAGGAGCCATCAGCAGTTGATGGATTCTGGGGAGGAGTGACAGTCAGTTTTATTTAAGGGTGTGGCCCCTGCTAGGTTAAACACGCTCCAGTGGATGGCCCTGCATTCGGGAGTGTATAAGCAGCATGAATTGTATCAGAGGATTATTAAGAAAAAAAAAAAAAAAAAAGAAGATACAAAGTTGGAAGGGTATGATGACTAATAGAGGGTTCTTGGGGGAAGAAAGGAGGTGACTGTGACCGAAATACGTGGTTTGCATGTATGAAACGATTAAAGAAATAATAAGACTATTCTGTAGCATCCTTTTGTATTTTAAAATATATGTAATTTAAACTTTTCCCAAAATAATCATTTGTAGCTAGTGGATACCATGCCAGCCAGTGAGACTGTCATTCTTTTGCTTTATTTCACACGAGTAAAGAGAGACTAGGAAGTAGTTCCTAAGAGGCAAAATAAAGACTAAAATTCAAACCTCGTTGTTACTAAAAGCAACGGTATTTGCATGCTGTCTGGTGGTATTTCTGTGTGCCTGTGAACATACTTCTAAGGAAAATTTACTACATTTTAAAATGAGTAGTACATTTTAAAAGAGTACTAATTTTAAAAAAAATGGTTCAACATGATAAATCATCTGGGAAATGCAAGTTACATGGGTGTTTCTAATTAACAAAATAATTAAAAATGATATTTGCCACTGGTAAATGATATGAATAATTTTTCACACCCATACAGTGTTGTAGGAGGTCCATTTTTATGGTAAATGTGTTATTAAAATGCATATTAAAAACATTTCAGCTTTGGTGTTATCTGAAATGCCAGCATATGCACAAAGAAATGTGTTGAAGGGCATTAAAATAGTGTAGTTTTCTGAAATCCCTGAAACGCCTACAAGTCTAGGAGTAGGAAAAAAAATATGTTTACAAAAAAATGAACGTGTCTGTCTACACATTCTTCAGTGGAATTATGTCCAAATACATTACTGTTAAAGAATAAAACACAAAATCCAGAAACCAGAAAAGTACGTATATAATAGTGCCACTTATATAAAATGATGGGGAAAGTTATGACTTCATATGGTTTTAAGAATGTGTGTAAAAACACTGAAAAAGACAACTGGAGATGGAGTAGTCAATGAAAGGTGGTTTCTGTTTTGTTATTTTAGTTCTATATGCGTTGAATTGGTTCACTGACATTCTGCATGTGAGATCTTTAAGGCGATGCTGATTTTTACACACTACATTAAGTTAAAACACTTGATTTGAAGAACTAATTTTGCTCATGTAGTCATCTATGGCTTACATTCCTATGTGTCTTAGACACTGGGTCCTTGCTTTGGAGCTGTGAACCAAACAGGTAGATTCTTGCACCTGCAGAATTTACCTACAGTGGACACCATTTAGAAATAGTTGTATTTTCTTTGCATAGACTTCTCTAATTTTCATAGGATTCTCTTCCCCACAGAACAACTCTAAGCAACTTCCTGCTCTTCCAACTCCGTGAAGAAGTATAAGGAGGACCAAACAGAGGGTACATTCATAGCCCTCTCAAACAGTCTCTTCACTTAACAGCCATTCACAGGTGACCAAGGATCAGTGAGGAACAGTAAAAAATCAGTATAAAGGGACCTTCGCCAGCTGTCCCAGCAGTGTCCAACTCTTTTCTACGGCAGCACCTGAGCTAGAAAGCCACCCACTTCAGAAACGACCAACTTAGGAATGTGTTGCTGGAAGCACACACTGTGGCAAGTTGCCGACAGCCTGCACGTAGGCAACTGCTAGCTTAAATAGCTAAAGCTCCTAGCACCCACACACAAGTTCTGCACACATTCTGCAGTTGGATTTTTTTCTTCTGGTGGCACTCCCTCCCATAATAATGAAGAGAATGCCAAACTGTCAGAGTGTCCTTTGAGGCCCTTCCACCAGCTGTGACTCCAACACTGTGTTAGGCTTCCACTGCAAGTCTGCCCACACTGGTGCCTTCAGACTGAATTCATAACTTCTGAGAAGCCTCTGAGAACCATTGTTTATACATCATAGCAATTTGAGTTTGCTCCTCTTCTCTCTGGCATACAAATGAAAACCCCTCAAGTCTCAGCTGCTAGGACAATTTCATACTGGCATCATCAGAAAAAGAGAGATGCTTGACTCAAAGAAGGAAGGGTTCTTCAAAATTCTGGATGGCTCTCAGAGCAGAGAACAGTATATTATTGAGAATTAATCTTTGCCACAGGATGAAGGTTCTGTATCTGCAACTTCTCACAGCTGAGAACAACTCAAGCTCACGCCTAAGGGCTGTGTGTGGAACGATGCATTATGACACCAAACTTCAGTGTCCCTTCCACTTCCAACAGCCTGTGTGACCTAGGTAACTACCTTGAATATGAACATTTAGTTCCAAGGTACTCCCACCGCCAACAGCCTTGTGTGACTTTGCCTTGGTAAGTCCCTACCACCCAAGTGCTCTTTGGTATTCCTCTTCCTTTCTTATGCTGCTCTGTCTGCCTGAATGGCTTCTATAGTTTCTCTCCCTTATCTCAACTTCCTACAAATTGCTGTTCTGTGAAGTCTGCCCTGAATGCCCAGTGTTCTTCCTGCTCATATCACTGTTGTAGATCCTCAAACGCCACTAGATAAATTGTTACATTGCAATACTACTACGCATGTATTACTCAGTTCATTTCAGTTTCATCATCTCTTTTAGGCTTTTAGGCAACACACAACAACCACTAGCTTAACTAATGTTAACACGAGTGCCAGTACTATGAGCATACTATGTGTCAATCTCTGTAAACATTATCTCTCCTTGTCACAAAACCTAATTAGAATGGTAGTAATGTTATGGGACATTTTTATGGTTGATGAAAAGTAAATGCAAGAATGATTACAAAGGTAGTTAGGAGGGCAATGGGAGAGTTAAAATCAAGCCTTTCCTGCTTTTTAAAAGACCATGCTTTCAGTGGCTGCCTAAAATAGAATCTGTGAATAGTCGTGGACAGCACTGCTCTCTCTAAGTGCTTACAGAGCTCAAGCTTGCACTATGTGTGCCACAGACACTGGCTCATTTGATGCTCACAAATGCCCTGGCATCTACATACAGCAGTTATAATTCCAATTTTTTAAAGTACAATGAGGCTTAGAATTGTTAGTGATCAAGGGTCATCAACTCAGTCACTAGCCAAGGTCAAAGAACTTGACCTTGATATCGATATGAATGCAAGTCAATCAGAGTCCTGAGTCCTTACTCACTAATTAATTCCATGGTTAGATGGCAGAGTGGACTTGGATCGTTGAAAGCACTGTCAACATTTTCAGGAATAACACCGTAGAGGAAACCTGGATCACAAACCCCTTCTGAACAATGCCAACCGACCCAGCTGATCCCCTCCGTAAGCACTCACCTTAGCACATGTGTGGATCCATTAATGGTTGTGGTTGAACAGGGGACAGTCTGACCCAGAATAGAGGGCCTTTTGTAGCGTTCATCATCACAGCAGAGGATGATGAGGAAGGCACGCCTAAAAGACTTATTCAAGAAGGCATAGAGAAAAGGGTTCAACCCTGAATTGATATAGCCGAGCCAGAGGAAAGCAGTCCACACCTTCTCAGGAACGGTATAGTCTATGAAAGGGTCCACAATATTGGTGACAAAGAAGGGGGCCCAGCAGAAACAAAAGCAGCCCATGATGACGCATAAAGTCTTGGCTGCCTTGGTCTCGGTCCGCAGGCGATGCGTATTGTGCTGGTCAGCTGGCTGGGGCCTGCTTTCAGAGGTGGCTCCTGCCCGTTGTAACATCTGGATCTGCTTGGCATGCTCCTTAGCAGTGACGTAAATACGGTAATAGGCCAGCACCATGAGGAGAAATGGAATGTAGAAGGCCACCACGGAGCAGGTGACGGCGTAGGGCTTGTTGACCATGAAGACACAGCATGTAGAATTAGAGTTGTGGTTGAATTTCCTTTTCTCTATCTGAGAATGGGAGGAAGAGAGAAAATGAGGGTGGGAAGGTGAATGAGGAGGAAACAGTGGGAAAAAATAGCAAAAAGTGAGGAAAACATAGGAAAGGAAACAATGGAAAAAGATGAGAAAGAGAAGATAAAGGAACAGGGAAAGAGTGAAAAAAGGGGGGAAAGAGAAAAAGAAAAAGAAGGTTTACCATTAATTTTTTATTTTTCCTACAAGTTCATAGCATATGGGGTTTTCACGACAGAAAAAGAACATGTCCCAGACTGCTAAGAGATTGTCTGTGTGAGGTCTCAGAAAGAAAAAGAAAACGTAGCCAGAAATCATTCTCAATTCTATCAATTCTTTCTTCCTCGTCTGACAGTGAATAACACATGAATATCCCTTAATAAGAAGTCTTAGATCAATACCATCAAATATGTTTATGTTATCTGCAGATTTTTGAGCTTCATGTAGATCAATTGCATTAAGAATTCTTAATTTCATCATCGTAGTCACATTTTAACATAATAAGTTTGTTAATGTTTGCAAATGTCACCCTATATCATTCTAAACTCAGATCTTTGAGGGATGCTGGGCTTTTTCTAGACTTGTTTCTTTGCTTAATGAATGTACTGATGAAGGTTTTTCCCACTTAGAAAATACAGTGTCTGAAGCATTGACATAGAGAGCAAGAGAAGCTTAGAGCTTGAGAGGAAGAAAATGTAGGTGTTTTACAATCATGGAAGATATAACACAGTAGTTGCCCAGTTGCCCATAGTTTTACCTACCAAGGTTTTAGTTAACTGTGGTGAGCCAGTTCCAAAATTTGTGTAAATAAGCAAGCCTAAGTTTTAAAGTGTATGCCATTCTGAGTAACATTAAAGAAATTCTACACCACCCTCTGTCTCACATAGAAGTGAATCTGTCCATCAGGTCTACGTTATATACGTCAGACAACCATTAATTACCTAGTAGCCTTCTCAGTCGTCCGAATGACTATTGAGGTACTTATATTCAAGCAGCCTCATTATACTTAACAATGGCCCAAAGTACAAGATTAGTGCAATTTCATGGAGGCATACAGTTATGATTGTGCTACATTATTGCGATTATTGTTACTGATCTTTTTCAGTGCCTAGCTTACAAATTGGATTTTACCATATGTGTCTATAGGGAAAACATTGTGTGTATATATGGTTTCAGGAATGCCTAGCGTTTTTGAAAGGTACCACCTACTGAAGAAAGGGATGTGTATCCATGACTCCTATTTTCTACTGAATCCACTCCATTTAGGTCTTATTCCTAGTCATTCCATTCAAACCGCCATTGCCAAAGTTGCCAAAGACCTCCACAAATTTAACACTTACTTTGAATGAGCTATTTAATGTATTGATACACCTGAGCCTTCAAGCCGTCCTTGCGGATACATATTTTGTTGAAGTGAAACAGAGTCTTCCAAAATTTAAATGTATCTGGTGAATGAATTTTATAAAGTAAAAATATATATGTAGTCATTACACAAATCAATGTGTAGACTATTAATGGCCTCCTTCACGTCTTCCCAAAGCCCCCTCTGTCATAACTATGTATTTTGTTGATGTAATACGTGTGGTTCCCAATGGGCTGTATCAATTAACATTTCTGCCACTCAGCTAGGAACATTCCAGTTACTCCACATCCTCATCAGCACTTGTTATTTGTCTATACATACTTATACCTCATTGTGGGCTTGTTTAAGGTTTATTGAAAGTGCTACTCATTTCCTTGATACTCATCTCTCTCCCCATTTTTCTCTCCCTCTTCTTTTCTCCCTCCCTCCCTCCCCTCCCTCTGTGTTCATATGTTAGTTCCTTGAGAATTTTATGCACTGTGTTTTGATAATATCCTTCCTCTCCAAAGTCTTTCCAGATCACCCCTCTTCCTTTTTCACCCAAGGTTGTGCCTTTTTATTTTCTATCAAGGCCAGTTTTTGTTTTCCAAATATACTTGGATTGTGGTCTTCCACTGGAGCACAGCAGACTTGTCAGGGGCTACAATCTTAGGAAAAATTGGCCCTTCCTCTCCCAAAAGCCAACAATGGCCAGTAGCTTCACTGCTAGGAGGGACTTCATGACTAACTCCCTGTTCAGTGGTCTGACCCTAACACTGTTTATACAATGATCCCTGAGTCTTCAAAGGGAGAAGTATAGTACATATGTTCTATTCAGCATTTTATACTCCATGATTCTCTGCACCTTGGCTAGTTGTGGGTCTACTGCAAACAGAAGTGTCTCTGAGGAAGGCTGAGAGATACCTTAATCTGTAAGAATTAGGAGATAGTTTAATACCATATCCACTTAGCAGAATAAAGGCAGTAGGATCTTTTCCAGGGTCTTTGATCTGTCTAGCCACAGGCTCTTGGCCTGAAAATAGTGATAGCTGTGTGTTTCATCTTCAGAAGGGGGCCCTAAATTCATTAAGAATACAGTTGGTTATTCTCACAAGATTCATGTCATTATTTGTGCCAGTGGTTATGTCTTTCTAAGCCAGTCATTTTTACAGCTGAGTATGAATGATGATTACATCTCTTGTCTTGTAGCATATATAACATCTCTCAATACTGTGAAAGCTACCCAGTAGAGATGAAGGTCAGTACCAGCTTGATTTCTCCCTGTTCCATGACTCCAGTGTGTGGTGTCTTCAGCAACATCGTCTTGCTGTCCAGTTCTGTACGGTAACCAGGATATTTGGAAATAGCCTGTATTGTGTGAGCCTCTTGGCAAAACCTACTGCCCAACAAGTCAGTCTTGAACAGTGTCTTGACATCCTTGTCTATATGATTTGAATGTATTGACATGCATTTCTTGGGAAAGGGGGGAGGAGTTTCTGTTCCTAGTTTCGATTAGTGCTTTGGTTTGTCCTCTCAGAACAGATAAGAATGGTGGGCTGCTTCCCAGCTTCTGTCAGCCTGAATTCTTGCAATTGTGTCTTCAGGTTGAATCCATGTCAGCTTTCCTTTTTTTTTTTTTTTTTTTTTTGGTTTTGTTTTGTTTTGTTTTCACGCCAGTCTTCTTAAGCTCAGTATATCCTGTTCTCTGTGCTCTGTTTCAGGTTTACCTCGCCTCACCTGACTAACTAGACTTTTAAATCAAATCAAATAAAGCAGAATAAAGTCTAAATTAATCAGGGGTGCTCACATTGAAACTATGGTTCTACCACATGTTTCCAGACATCTAGAAGTCAATTACTACTTCTCCATTTGTCTTGGGAAATCGTTATTCAGGTAATTTCTCCTTAATACACATTTACATAGGCCTTTTTTAAAAAATAGATCTATATTCTGGAGATGTTCACTGTTGAAATTATATATTGCAAATTCTTGGTTTATTTATCTATTTATTGCTTTCTTACTAGTATCAGGTAATTGAAGTTTTAATCTTAGGACCCTGTAGCTTCAGTTACTATCATTGTGGCCCATTAAGAAGTCTTTATCGCTCATGATAAAAATATTGTCATATCTACCACTTAAAGGCACTTTCTCATATTTTGGCACATCTTCGTTGTGCTAATTTTTACACTGAGAGTTCTCCAGCCCACTTGGGATTAATTTTTCCGTAAGATATTGTTTTTACTATTGCTGAGATAAAACACCATGATTAAAAGCATCTTGGGAGGAAAGTGTTTATTTCTTCTTAAAACTAGTTGGTCACCCTCTGTCGCTGAAAGAAGTCAAGGGAGAAACTCAAGGTGGGAGCCTGGATGATAGAACTGGAGCAGGAACCCAGGAGGGGTGCTGCTCACTGGCTTGCTCCCTGTGGCTTGCTCAGCCTGCTTTCTTATTTATACACAGCCTAGGGATGCCAGTGTTCACAGTGATCTGGACCCTTCATATCACACATTAGCCAGGGCAGTACCCCACAGTCTTGCCTATAAACCAATCTTATGGAGGCATTTTCCCAATTATGATTCCCTCTTCTCAGCTATGATAGATTTTTTTTTGTCAAGTTGACAAAAATCAAGCAGCATATGTATGGAGTAGGAGAGAGATTCTGTTTACCATATGGATAGCCAGTTGATCTAGCACCATGTACTGAAAGCACAGTTCTACTGCAACATAGCTTGACTATATCAGAAAACTGTAACTACATGGCTCTTTACTTGAATTTCCTATATTGCTCTTTCTCTCTATATACCATGCCATTTTGATTTTTAAAATTTCATTAAATTTTGATTGGTAACAAAACTGATGGAATTGTGGATCTCTAAAAACTACTATGATTATTCTTACATCTCAGTATTCCCATATAATATTACAAATAACATTAACTTTCAAAAACATCTTCAAGGATTTTTTTTTATCTTTTAAAAATATTAGATTGGGGAAATTGATATCATTGTAATTGGTGAACACAATTTCTTTCCCTTTATACATTTAAAAGTCTATTTCAGTACTGGAACTTTCTGCATAAACATTTTGAAGCTATCTTGTTATATTTATTACTATATTTTTGTTTACTGGATTTATTTTATGTGTGTTTTGTCTGCTTATTTGTGTTTGCATCATATGCTTGGTGCCTGTATCAGTCAGAAGAGAATGTCAGAACCCCTGGAACTGGAGTTTCAGATGGTTGTGAACCATCATGTGGGTGCAGGAAATCAGATCTGATTCCTTTGAAAGCAGCAAGTGCTCCTAACCACTGAGAAATCTCTCCAACCCCTGTATTTTCCCCATTGTTTGTGATACTGTACTAAAACTATTTTTTTTCCAAAATTTTTGTTTCTTGTATCATGAACTCAGTGAGGATTTGTTTTTAATCCTGGAATATGTCTAGAGACTTTAATAAATTACCTATTGTTTTATCTCTACATTATTTTAAACTTTCTCAATAAATACTCATGTAATTTCCAAATAATGAATTTCATTACATTCTTTTCAATTATGACACTATTTTTTTTTTCTATTTTAAAAAAGTAATTAACAGCTAGTCAGTTACAGTGGTGTATGCCTTTAATCCCAGCACTCAAGAGGCAGAGGCAGGTGTATC